GGGTCCGGGACTTGACCCGCGGTCGACTCCGTGGGAGTCCGGCAACATAGCCATTACGCTAACTGCTGGTCCCAACACTGATTTTTTTTTTAACGTAGAAAGTTATAAAAAAGATCATCCATTATTTCATAACCCTGAGAATATCTATACCAACAATTTAGTATGGATTTTTATTCTGCTCTGACTGATTTATAAGCTTCTTGGATTTATGTAATGAAGTGTTTAATCTGCTTTGGCATGCAGAATAAATAAATTAAAAGAATAAATTGATAAACTTTTCTAGAGTACAGATATTCTCAAGATAAGTTTAAAAATAGAACCTAAATAAACTGGAGATTATACTTTTATTTATGACAGCTACAGCTTTTATTTTTTCTTGGACTTTTTATATGACTACGTTAAGTTTGGAAAAAGCAAAACCTGGCAAAATAAAAGTCATGAGAATGGGTTTCTGTCAATATGATTTTGAGAAAAAAATGACACAAAGACAACTGAAAATACACACATGGTTCTACTTCAGTTCTCAATTTGACATGTACTTATTAGTCAAAGTATGTTCTTTGACACATGTACTTACCAGGCAGGCACATCTGATGAAATAATAAAGCCCCTGTTTGAAAAGCTAAACTAGCTGTTTCTTTTTAAAAAGTTGTGTACAATTCTTATGATATATTTAATATATTTTTGGTTTATAAGGTGGTCAAATTTTTAAAATTCAATATAGCAAAAATAGAAAACCACTTTTTATATGCAAGCACATTTTCATTTATAGAAACTAAATCTAAAATACTATCTCTTATTTATAAATGACTGACACCAGAAACATTCCTTTTCATCACCACTGCTAGGCATTTCCTTCTCATTTCCTTTTAGTAACTACTTCAGATACTCCTACTGCCTTTAACACTGACCTTTATCTCCAATTCTTACTTTTCCCTTATATAAACTGGCACAGGATCTCTAAGTGGTGACACAGAGCAGATAGTAAAATGGAGCAGAGGGGAAAAGTGGTAAAATGAAAGGGTGCTTTAAACCTGTCTGTCAATCTTTACAACCCTGTCTACCACCCAGAGCCATCCATAGGCCAAGCCTGCTCACCACCATCAACCAGCATCAGCTGGACAAAGGACTCGGGAACAGTGAAGAGAAATCTCTTCCTACAAAGCAGAAAAATCTCATTTTCATTCTTCATGTGTCACTTTCAATTTCACTACCAGAGGCAGGAGAAAGGAAAACTCTATTCTTCAATCCCACATTCATTATCTAGTCCTAATGGTTATCCTTACTATTCAATGATTGTTTTGCCACTTTATTTCACTTCAACTCATTTCCTTTCCTAGCATCTGTTTCAAGAAAACCCATACCTCCTATAACCTCTACTAAGCTAATTATACCTATCCGATGGGTCACACATACTCATCAATTTATATCCTTTGTCCTAATACAAATTCTAGTGCTACTTCCTGCTTCTCATTTTCCTTTCATTGTAACATTTGGAGTCATGAATACTATGCATGGAATTAGGGAAAACCTTAGTCCAAACTTCAAGAAAGTTTTAATCTTTTTAGGATTCCGCTTGCTCATATGGATCACCTCTCCAAAATCTGGTTAACAAATTTCCAGGTCCTATAGACAGGGATTCTGAAGTGAAATGCTCATTTTCTAAAAGGATGTGTCTGCTAATCAGTCACAGTTGGAAATCATTGACAAATGCTAAAATTTCTTTTAGTCTAACATTTCAAGGTTCTATATTGGAATTTTCATTGTGTTTTCTGGTAGGAAGACTATTAATTATTAAAGGAGCATAGTTTCCATAGCTATAGGTACTATAATTCAGATATATTACTGATTAAATAGATTTTTGCAAGGCTGACCTTGCACCTAAATACCATTTATAGTATCTTATGATAACAGATAACTTGCAAATGAACTTACATGCTTACAGACTGGAGACCATTAGTATTACAATACTAAGTCCCCCAAATAAAGCACTAAAAAGCACTTCACTAAAAATCAGATGTTAAAAAAAAATTGTAATAGGCTATGCCTGTTCGCCAGCGAGAGACAGAAAAATAAAGTGGGAAAGTCAGAAAGCACTCCCTAGGAGGGATGTCCATGCCACAATCCTTTCTCTTCTATTTGCCTATCAGGATTTGGGCAGGCATGCAAACACAGCGTGTTTTTCAAGTCACTGGGTTTGAGATTTGAAGCCTGCAATTGGCTATGTGAGATCCAGTTCCCCTAACCACACACTACCGGTTGGTCCCACAATCAGAATTTTTACAGATAGCTTTTTTTTCCCCCCTTTAACTGAATTTTGGCCTATACTTCAGAAATAAAGGTAGAAAAGGCATGCTCATTAGGATCATTTATTTTGCTGGTTCACTGATGGGGCTTTGTACATCACTGGAGCAAAGCCTAGAGAAGTCTGGATCACTGGTGGAATTCGGGGAATTAAAATGCCTAAAGAAAATGTCTCATTCAAATGTTTAGACTGCCAGTTCTTTACCTGCCCAGAAACACACTGGCTCATTCATTTATGAACTAGCTCTGATAACTTTCAAACACCAATTCTCAGGATAAACAAAATTTCCCGTGGTTAACATTTGGGCTTCAAGACATGTTCAGACATGCAGGAACTAAGCAAGTATAAGCAGAACTTGAAGAAATGATCACACATTAGTAGCATGCTAATTTAAGTAGAACTTACTCACTTATGAATAAATAACAAATAATAACGTAATTATTATAAAAAGATAAAAATAGAAACTGAATTAGATGCCATTTTTTCGTTTAAAACGATGCACTTACTTAAATTATACAAAATAGCATGACAGACTGCAGGAAAGTGTCCATTTATTCCTCATTTCTCCAAACATTAAAAAATCTACAGTGAATGCCATTATGTAAGTGAATTCTCTGAATAACAAGAATGATGCAATTGTTGCTATAGTAACTACTCATTTTATTAAATAAATTGTGGGTTGGGGTTTAAAGCATTCTTTTGAAAAACAAATGTCAACATCTAAATTATGACCAGTAAGTCCCTTTCTATTGCTACCTATTAAACACTAACTATAAGCCATCTTTGGGGATGACTATTTAAGCAGCCTCTATTAAAAGGCAGGCCTGAGTTGCCCAGGAAAGAAAACTGAACTAAAAGTTTGAAAAATGAAACCAATTATATTCAAAGGAACAAAAGACACTTAGTTTTAACTTTAAAGTGACTGAAAAGCATGTACAAGTCAAAAGTAACATGATCTTACATGTCTCTGTTGCTTCACTGTCATAATTTTGCTTCTAATTCTAAATTATGAACTAAGTATCAGACTAACTCCAGAAGTTAACGGCTGACTCTATATTTTGCAATTAAACTTAATCTACAGCCAGCAGAAAGTTATCCCCTATTTTGATACTTGGGAGAAATTTCTCCTACACATACGACAATACTGACCGTTTTCACTGTCAAAATCTAATAAAACAACTCTGCACAAAAGCTCATATTTAAAAAGACCAACGACAACTGCGGAGTCTAACTATGAACAAACAGTCCTCAGACACAGGCAAAAGCCACCAAAGCTTTCTGGCCTCCCTTGTGATCTTCACAGAGGGGATGCCCACGGATGGTTAGCTTCACCTAGGGCCTGCTCCCTGGGCATCTGGGTCTACAGGAGGCTGGCTAGTTACATGGACTATTCAAAGCTCAGAACCAGCCCTAAATCTCATCCTCACCCTTCTAAATAAAGACTACAATCAATTATTTGAAAAATCGGGCTGGGGAACACGGGTGCCAGGGCCCTTTTTTTTTTTTTTTTTTTTTAAAGAAGGTAAAGTCCAGTCAGCTAAAAGGCCTGCTGACTTCGCGGACCTGGAGGCTAACGCCTAGGAAGTTTAGGCATCGGAATGAGGTCCCGGGAAGGGGATCTGATTCGGTTCTCCAACCGAATGAACGGGCTGGTCCAGCGCAAGGGAGAGAGGGGTAACTCGGGCTTTTCCTGTCTTTCACAAACGCCTTTTCTCCTGACTGCGCGTTTTACCTTCCCGTCTCTCGAAAAGAGCGACCCCACCTCTTCCGCGAGTGTGCGTGTGCGGTGACAACAATCTCAGCACCCTGGCTGGGGACAGGGGCTGGGAGGGGGTGGGGACTCAGTGCCTCCACAGGCCCAGAACTCTCCTGGAAGGCCCTCAAAGAAAAGGGGGCGGGAGAAGCGCGCCCGACGACGACCGAGGACTCAGACCGGGCCTGGAAGAGTGGCACCGGCAGAGGCTGACGTGCGGCTCCTTCAGACTTTAATGGTGCCCTCTTTGGGGGAAGGGAGAGGTGACAAGGGGTGAGGGGTGATGAGACCTCCCCTCCCCCCTCGCTCAGTTCGCTGTTTACCTTCCCGGTACTTCTTGCGGAGCCGCCTGTGGACG